GAGGGCAGGAAGTTAGCTCCTCTCAAAGCAGCCCTTACTGGGCAGCCAGGTGGCCCACCTTGGCTCCACATGAAGTTAGCAGGAGTTATCTTACTAGCTCCAGGCTGTTCTGTTCCCTTCTGCCTACCCTCCAAGGAAACCATGAACACCCTACATCTGATTGAAGCACTCTCCTCAGAGACCTGCTCCAGCTCCCTATTACCCCAGCATTGGTCGCATAGGGGACATTCAGGAACCTTCCTACAGGGTCTTGCCTCTGCTCCCTGCTCTAACCATGTGCGTCTCTGTTCTCAGAGGCCTTGCTAAACTGCTCAGCTTTGGCTCCGGGAGATAAAAATCTCAGCTCTTCAAAAGCCTTCCTCTACCAGAGACCCGCCTTGGAGTCCCTCCCTGTCCCTCAGATCTCTCCGAAGGACCCAGTTTGCACTCTGGCGTCTCAGTGCTTCCCCCCACTCCGCCCCCCTTCCTGGGAACAGCCACCACCAAACCTGTTCAGCAGGGATCCCCATGGGGTGTGAGATAAGCAGCCCCTGGCTGGGTGGACACAGGGGAGGACTCCCTGGAGGAAGCCTTGGAGGCCACTATGACCTCTCCTCCCTCCATGGTGCTCCAAGGAGCACAGGCCAGAGTCAGGAAGTCAGCCGCTCCTTCCTGGGCTTCCATTTCCTTGTGTGAAATGGAGTATGGTGGGACTGGGCCATCATCTCTAACGTCCCCCTGCCTCAGATTCCTCCACGGCTACGAATGATACTTGCTATGTGTCTGTCAGGCGCCTTACCAGAACCGGACAAATGTGATTCTCAAACCCGGGGGTGGGGGTTGTTTTATATGTGATGCTGACCAATGCCTTTAAATAAGCGGAGGCCACTACCTTCTGTAGCCTCTGTCCCTCTGCCCTCCAACAGGGCAGGAAGTCACCGCCAGCTTCAAGAAGGGAACACAGGGAGAGCAGAGGAGCGACCTGCCAGCTCACAGAGCCGAGGACCACACAAAGGGAACCTTTTCTCATCTCAACGTCCCATTCTCCTAATTGCATGTATAGGCCGTTCCTTCCTGTTTACCTGCACCTACCCAGTACCTGGCCACAGGGTGCAGACCAGAGCCTGCCCTTGAAGGGGGCTCAGTTGACTGACAGTCATCCATCTCCAGGTCTGTACACAAACTCATCTGTGTGAAGGAAAACTCGGGGTGCTGTGAGATGTGACTTGGCCCAGGGTGGCCCTTGTGGGAAGATTCCAACTGATTTGGGCAACTCCTTGTCATGGGCAGTCAGCCACCTTCCTTACTGGCCAGGCATGAGCTGGTGACCCTGGTGGAGCCTGGCTGTGTACATCCTTACCTCCAGCCCCCCCTCTACCCCAACCCCGGCTCTCCAAGTCCCCCTCAAGACTATCCCTGTACAACTGCCCTTTCCACCGAAGGATCCAGACACAAATTGTACTTTAAATTCAATATTGGTCATTAATATTTCATGATTACAAAACGTTAAAGATAATGTCAGTGGAAGGCGCGTCTGCATGGGCAGGATGGATGACTCAGAGGTTCGGGAGAGAGGAGCCAGCATACTAAGTGGGCCCAAGCCTTTGAGGTAATCCAGCGTGACAGGCGGCTGCTCTGGCTGAGGGCGACATCCTCCGAGGGGCTCACAGAGCGCTGCAGCGTGTATAAATATTTCCCCTCTGATCCTCACCCCCTCTTGTTTGTTCTGCCTGGGAGCAGGTGGGGCTGTGGGATCCCTGGCTCATCCCCTTTGCTTCTGAGGGAGCCAGGCAGACACCTCAGCAGGAGGACACAGGGCCTGGGGGTGGAGCCAGTGGGGTGGCTCCGTTCCTGGGGCCTAGGCAGACTTCTGGTGTGGAGGACTAGGTCACCCTGGGCTAGCACGGACTGGCTCTGTGCTTTGGGGCCTTAGTTTCCTCATTTGTGAAATAGATATGGTCACTCTATCTTCATTAGAGATGGCTCGAAGGCGGTGTGGTAGGGGTTATTTGCCACAGATTGTGTAAGTGTGTGCGTATGCGTGTGTGTGTGTGTGTGTGTGTGTGTGTGTGTGTGTGTGTGTGTGTGTCTTGCTGGAGGTCAATGTCTTCTCTATGACTCTCTGCTTATATGTCAAGGCACGAACCCTCACTTGAACCCAGAATTGGCCAGTTTGGCTAGTCTAGCCGGCCAGCTCGCCCTGGAGACTCCTGGTCTCTTCCTCGTGAGCAGCTGGAATTACGCGTGGACTGCCATACCTGCCTGGCGTTTATGTTGGCGCGGGAGATTTGAACTCTGGTCCTTGTGATTGCAAGGCAAGCACTCTTCCCATGGAGCCATCTCCCTAGCCTCCTACTTTACTTTTGATTATGTGTGTGTGTGTGTGTGTGTGTGTGTGTGTGCAAATGCTGTGGTGCACAAGTGTGGCCAGAGGACAATTTGCAGGAGTCGGTTCTCACCTCCTACCATGTGGGTCTCAGGGACTGAACTCAGGTTGTCAGGCTTAAAGGCACAAGTCTTACCCACTGAGCCACCTTGCTGGCCCTTTGGTTTTGAAACAGGATCTACTGTTGAACCTAGTGTTTGCCGTCTGGATTGGCTGGCCAGTAACCCCAGGAATTTGCCTGTCTCCACTCCTGGTACTGGGACTATGTCATCCTGTTCGTCTCTACGTGGAAACTGGGGGTCTGAACTCAGCAGGAACTTTGTACACTGGACCAACCCCCCAGCCCCAGACCAAGGAAATATGACCAGGGCACAACACAGGGAGACCTGAGCTCTGCACCAGGAGCTCTGCACCAGGCCAGGCCAGGCTGGGAGTTTGCACAAAGGATTTCACCTGAGTCTGTTTCCTCATCTCCACACTGGGGCCCCCTGTCGAATCAACACTGCTTAGACGTGGAAATCCAGTGACCTCATCACTGTAAAGGGACCAGACTCCAGGGGGAGGGAAGCCAAGTGGCCCGGTCAAGGCGGTTAGGGAGGCAGTGACGGCAGGCTTGCGAACACTGACTGATTTCTCTGCACTAGGAAGTGAAGCGTTCCCTTTATTAGTTAGTATAGAGGTGAGGAGTGGGCAGGTACTGTGGACTGAAGCTCAGAGGGGCACCTCAAGCCCGACTGGTAGCCGACTTCTCTCAGAGTCTCCCCCCCTCCACCCCACGGTCAGCTGGGTGGGATGCAGTGAGTCTCTGAGGGCAGAGAGGGAAGCCAGACAGCTACAGGTGCAGATGAGCACGTGGCAGGGAGACCCGGGGTGAGAGCCCTGGGCTTAACCCAAGGAGGGACTTGCTAGTGGCAGGATGTCAGACAGGTGACAATCGTGGGCCAAGGAGGAGGCACCTCTGTCTGTCAGTCAGGCCTCTGCCTTCCCCGTGCGCAGAGCCTCAGTGACAGCTAGCTGCCTTGGAGCAGGCGAGGGAGGCTCAGAAGGTGGCGGAACTCCCCCCCACCCCCAGTCCAGCGCTACTTCCTCTCCAGCCACCTTTGTTCTCTCTTCCAAGCGGAGGAGGAGTGGATTCAAAGGCTCCCAGACGCGCCGCACTGAGGGCTGCGGCCCGCTTTGTGTTTGCCTTTAAACTGCAGTTGAAAGAGACGAAGAGGACTTCAGCCTAGGGACTTCCTCGGCCCTGCCACGGGCCAGCGGGGCCTCCGAAGTGGGAGGAGGAAGGGGAGGCGGGCACAGGGAGCGGGGAGGCCAGCAGGAGGCCTCGGGATAGGGGTCGGTTTGAGCTGCCCTAAGGCTGAGACAGGCGACACTGGAGAGCGAAGCTGAGGAGACCTGGCAGGCACTGGCTGGCTCTGCCCACTCCGGGTGCTCCATGAGTCCCTTCCCTCTGCTTCCCACTTCCACAGCCTTACTTATGCAGACTCCTATATTTCAGGATCATCCTTTCCTTCCCCGGCTCAACCCCCACCCACCCAGTGGCTCCAAACTAGGTCCCCACTTCCAGAAACTTCTCCCCAGCAGAGCCAAATGCCTTTACTTGTGTGTGTGTGTGTGTGTGTGTGTGTGTGTGTGTGTG